CTCCTATTACACGACGAAATAGGGGCTCCTCCCATTGTGTATGCAACTTATCATATTCTCCTATTGTAGTTCATCCATAAACAGTAGACCACCAGTAGGCATCCTTCCGCTCCTCTCTCACAAACTGTAACCTTATTGTATCGTTGTTGTATTAAAGTACCCTTATTGTCATAATCAGCTCACTTGTCTTCACCTCAACGCCGGTGCTTTTCGTCTAAAACGTAGGGTGCATGTACTTGCCATCTGAACCTCAGGAGCATGTGCTGGAGACGCAGCAACCAAAGCGGATCCCCACCGCATAAAAGGGGTAGAAAGTTATGTCAGAACGGACGTTGGCGAGAAGGAAAGAGGGGAAGAAGAAGAGAGATGGAAGGAAGAGGAAGAGAAAAAGGGAAAAGAGAGAAAGAGTGGCCAGACGGGTGAGGATTGTCGGTGCCGCTGTTCGGGTGTCGCGAGGTCAGGGAAAATGAACAGTATCTTTCCGATTGATTCTGGTAAACACCGGATCCCTGCCAGAGTCGCAGCAAACAAATGATGGGTCTCAGCAACAAAAGCGGCGACCATTTCTCTATCACCCACACAACACCACCGTCGGAACCGCTGCTGCAGCCCTGCCGGACTGACGTACTCGTTGTTAGGTTTGCTGGTTGAAACCGATGGGACCGCAGGCTGCTTGATTCGTGCTCTATCTTTCCCATGGATATTCATGTGGCCACACCGAACATGGGATCGGCGCTTCGAGAGGGTACCATGGGGGCTCTGATCTACAGCTTGAGAGGGTGAGTGTCTACTGCATCAAGAAAAGTTGTAGTCAGTTCATTCCTCGAGCGGTTCTTATGGATCGTCGCCCCTTCACCGGCTCCTTGCATTTAGCGTGAAACAGGGGGAAGACAAGGACGAAAACAGAGGAAGATATCCTCCAATGATGACCTCTGTTTGCAACTCTGCAAGGCTGCAACTCAGACGAGTACCGGGAAGCTTTGAGATTTCCTCAAGATCTTCCACCTCACTCTTCAACTCCCTGAATTGTTGGACTACAATCTGGTATTTGGCTTCGAGCATCTCGATCTCAGTCTTGTGAGCTAAGATCTTGAAGTTCAACAATGCGTTCTTCTTGTGCGTTCATGGCCACTTTTCTCAGTCTCGTGAGCTAAGATTACAAGGAGCCACCACCAGCTCTATGGTTTGAGCTCGAGGAGTTGAAATCGTGGTCGTTTAGGAGAGCTGGAATTGTAGTGTTCATGGCCACTTTTCTCTTCTTGAGCATAGCCATTTTAACCGTGATGGGTGTGGGAAGGGCTCCAATAAGTGTGCTTCGGTGGGTATTCAAGGGCTTGCCAGGGCTTTTGGAGGCATGATCTTTAACCCTTGTCTAGTGCACCGCTGGTATCTCAGGTTTGCAACATGTTTCCTTTATTTAATTCTTGAATTTTTCTGTTTGCGCTTCAGTTGACGTTATCCTCGATGACGCCCTTTCTTGAATCTCATCAAACATTTTTTGCATAAATTGTTGGGTTCTTCATATTAGAAGATCGGACATTGAGGACAGGTGGTGGTCTGATTACGAACTTTGAAGTCGAGAATTAATGGGAGACTAAAATGTGTTGGGGAACGAAAGATGTGAACGTTTCCGATGGAAAATGGAGAGACGGAGGCAGAGGTGGAGACGAAAACGGAGACGAAGATGGAGTAGCAATCTGCTTTCTATTTCTAAATTTTTTTATAAATTGAGTTTTATTTTGAAAATTTGAGAAATAACGAAGGAGTAATTTCGACATTTTGTTTTCCTGTTAGTACTCAGAAACAATAGATGTGGTCTAAGACCATAGTTAAACGGTAAGGGTAGAGTTTGTCAATTAGCTAAACAGTATGGGTAGATTAAGAAATTTGTCCATGTAATTAAATCACATTATAATTAATTAACGCTAAAGGATAAAATAATTAATTAGGTTAATACAAAGGTTCATATTATTTGATAATTTGAAGTAATTATCATCCTAAGTTTTACTAATTTTTAGAATTTAATGGTTATTTTTATAAAGTTATACTAATTTCATCTATTTTATCATATTTTATGGAAATTAGTGGTTATTTTTCCCTAAGTTCTTCTAATTTCTGGTAATTTCTATTATATAATAATTTATGATATTTCTTGGTAAATATAATATTTTATGGAAATTAGTGATTATTTTTGGCTAAGTTGTACTAATTTCTAGTAATTTCTATTATACTAATTTATGAGAATTCTTGGTCAATATATACTTATTTTTTATACTTATTATATGATAGTTTATTGGTCAATTAGTGGAAATTAGTTCTATTATATAATTTCTACTAATTTCTGGTAATTTCTATTATATACCAATTTCTTGGTAAATATATACTAATGTTATATTTATTATATGATAGTTTAATTATAGTAATTTATCGATTTTATGGATTTTAGTAGCTATTTTTGGAAATTTCTACTAATTTATGATAATTTTTCGCAAATTATTTTAATGTATTTAGGATTATATTATTTGATAATTTCAAGTAATTATCATCCTAAAGTCTACTAATTTGTGATAATATCTTTTGATTTATTTTTAGTAAATATTGGTAATTTATGTCTGATAATGGTAATTTCTTTTAATTTATATTTGATAATTTTTATAATTATTTGACAAAATTTAAAAAAAAATCAAATAGCAATATTTTTAACTTATAATATGTAACAATCTTCACAGCACAAAATCTATAAATGTAAACCAAAGCAATTCAAGGTTCAAAGTATCTACACATATCAACTTGTATCGGCCAATATATATCATGTCGGTGGCTTCCTGATATGCCCCTATAGGGGTTGTATCAGGTCAGCCACTGGTTCAAAGAGTAGCCAAACCTTAAACCAGCCCCTCTGAACCGATTTTGAAGAAAAAAAAATTAAAACAAAAAAAGCACCGACATAGGGTATATTATTACCCAGTGCCAATATTTAGAACCTTGAAGCAATTCATTAAGCTAATAACATTTTTAACTAACATTGTGTAACAATCTTCAAAGCACAAAACCCAAAAATTTAAACCAAAGAAATTCAATAAGCAAAAAGACAAACATTATTTTTGCTGATTTTTTTTAACATTATTTATTAAATATTTAATTATTAACAACATTTATCAATAATAGTAAGTAATTATAATATTTTATTAAATAATCAGTAATGATAGCTTTAATAATATTATTTAATTATTTTTAATATAACAATAATTATTAAATTTATGAATAGGGTTGATTAACAATATTCATTAAATTAATAATTACCAAAATTAAATTAAATTAACAGTATTTATAATTTTAATTTAAAGTAAATATCTATTTATTAACAATATTTATAATAACAGTAATTATTAATTATACTCACTAATTATATATTTATTAAATTACTGTAATAATCAGTAATTATTAAAATCGGGTTAAAATAAATAGATTATAGTATTCCATTTGGCGAAAGGGGAGACCACCCCTTTCGTATTAATATATATATATATATAGTAAAGATATGTTAATTTAATATAACACATTAATTTAATTTGATTTATTATTTCCAAATTATAGTTAGATTTTATGTACTTAGACTTGGTTAATTAAACTTTATATTAATTTAGTGTATAATATTTAATATTTTAATTAACTTAAAACTAATTAGTTATGTTAGTTTAGATAATATATTAATTTCTACCAAATTATTAAGTGATTAAGTATCTCATTCATTGATCTATTAGCATTATATTTTTTATTAATTATAATTGTAGGGATGGTGATTTTCCCCGTAAAAATGGGGTCTTGCCCCACTTCACCCCGAATGGGGTAAGTTTTCCCCGATCTTAAACGGGGATGGGACAAGGACAAGGTGGGAATAGTAAAAATATTTTTGCCCCAACTAGGCAAAAACTCATGTAACTCTAATTAAACAGCAAAAATATTTTAATTACATTTTATAATAACATGTTTATTGTTTACAAAAACAAAAATATTGTTAAGTAAACATTTGAGAATTAATTCTTAGTTGACTTTTGGTTAATATTAAAAATTTAAAATAATAAAACAGAAAATAATCAATATAATAATTCATGTACAATAGTTGCATATGTTTTGTGCCTTGAAATTCAATAGAAAATAACATAATAATAGCTTTATGCATTTACTAATTTGTAAAAAATTATATATTATATGTTATAGTATTCTTGATTGATGCATTATTAATAAAATTTTATGATTTTTATGCATCCAATGTATTAACTATAGTATATTTCTTCACATATATTTTTAGAATATACATTTTTTATATATTTATAATTAATTATAGCTATATTAATCTTAAATATAATGTTATTAATATATTTATGGAATTTATATGCATTTTTGGCGTATCCATGTTTTTTTGTCTGTATCCATGTATTTCCAAAGCGTATCCATATCCGTATCCGTATCCGAACGGTCCAATACAAAACTCAATAAAGATACTTTAATCCTTGTGTTTGGAATTAATATAGTTTCTTGAGAGGCACCTTTCAGAAAAAAAGATGCTATATAGGCATGTTGTTTTCTCAAAAAACGTTTTTTAGATTTTTTTATTTTTTTTTATTGTTGCCACATAAGCATTTTTCAATGCCATATCAGCAGCTATTGCTATTAGAAAAAACGGAAAAACGATAAAAAACATTTTCTCATATCACACATTTTCCAATTTCTAAAATGGGGTTTAAGAAAATATTTTTCGGAAAAATGACTAACCAAAGTAACAAACATCATGCATTTTCTGAAAAGATGGGTTTCAAATGTGGCGCTGATGTAATGCCGTTTTTTAAAGAGACGGCATTGATGCCAAACACATTTAATTCCTCTCAAATCTTAATTAATTACTCAAATCTTAAATTATTAATTATAATCAGAGACACTCAATGAAACAAATAAAATCTTAAGTTCTTAACCAGAAAGGCAGAAACAAAGTCGGTTTGATCTGGTTTCTGAGTCTCGGATCATCGAAACCCAAATCCAAGTGTTTGTGCCTCAACAGGACCCATGGCCATGGGCATCAGGGCATGAACTAGGGACAAGTCAAAAGACGCGGCGATCGAAACTTCGAAAGGAAATATTAAGAGAGATTTTCACGAGCCCGCTTTTATCTCTTTCGTCTCTACAAAAATTCGCGTCGTTTTCAAGTCCCAGCAATATCATTATATTTTTCCGGAATTAGAGCGGAACAGAGAGATTTTCTCTCATCCCCTCCTGCCTGAAATTAGAAAATTTTCTCCTTCCGAAGAAGCCTAAATTCTCAGTGGGTCTCTTTCTCTGTTTTGGTTTCTCCGATCGAAATCCGGAATCAAGTTTTGATGCGAGCGGTAACAAGTGATACCTATTTGGAATTTTCTGGATTGGAATCGTGAGGAACTCGGCCTTCCGTTTCTGGGTCGGATTACGAGAGCTTTTTACGCTGTAATCTGATCCGGGAGCGGTTTGGGAGGCGGTTTCTTGATTTGGTGATTGCTATAGAGATCGGTTTGGTTGGAAGTCGGAGTACCCATTTGCGTTTTCTGATCATTACCGTTCAAATTTCGATTGAAACCGCAATAGCTTTTGCTTTTTGGTTCTGGGTCGTTTTGTTGAGTGGTTTTTATTCTTTTTTTTTTTTTTCTGACAAAAGTGCGTTCGATTACGGCTGACAAACGTAACTGATATCTAGTTATTTTGATCAAAACATGCGAAGATCGGTCATCTGTTTCTGGGCATTTTCCTCTCGGTCGTAAGAAGATAAAGACCGCTTACTGGTTAGTCTGTATTGTTGGAATCTGACTCCCGGCGCCGATTTTCATCATGGATGCGAAATCCGGCGGCCTTGATTACTGGAGGAAGTATTTCCGGGGTGCTACTTCGGATATCTTTGAGGTTATTGAGCATGCGATCACGGTCGCTTCTTCAGATTGTCCAGAAGAGTTCAAAATGAGAAGGGATCGAATTGCAGAGATGCTCTTCTGCTGTCGAATGGCCAGGTGTTTTGGATGTAATCGTGTGGAGTTGCAAGTACCAGCCGAGGAGGAAGGGGATGGAGATTGTAAGAATGGTGGTGATTTTGTGGGTCGTAGCGGTAAAGAAAGCAAGGTTAATAGCAGCTCCAATGGTAACAATCAAATGAACACTATCCGAGTTAGCAATTACAGCTATGATGAAACGGAGGCACTGACGGAGGAGATTGAAGAGGAGAGTCAGATTGTTAAGGAGGTTCTAAGGATCAAAGATGTTCTTTCAAATAGTCAAGATGAGGTCTGTCTCATTGAAACCACTGCCACCACTACTGCTGCTGTTGTTACTTTGTTAATCTGTTCTGAGCTAGTTATCTGTTATTGCAGCTTGGTTATAGCTTGAAAGGGTTGGTAGAGAACATCTTTCTGAGTATTATTCTGGAGTCTCATTGTTGTTGACCAGATTGTTTTTGCTGAAATTTAACTTGGGTTTGAAGAGTTTTCCGTTATAGGGATATTTACTGCTTTCTATTGGCTAGACTGGAGAATTTGTTCCTGTAGTCTAGTTGGAAGACTTAAATAACATATAGCTCTTTCAAAACTTTCAGTTCTGATTGAATTGGTCTAATTGTTGATTGTTGGTAGACTGATTACAGTTTGGCTGTTCCAATGCAGCTGGAGGATCCAAGTAACTTGATTTTAACTTCTATGGTTACCATTTGGCTGCTCTAGTTCAGTTAGAAGATCAAATTAACCTAAGTTTCATGATCAGGAAAAAAAAAACTAATTGTTGCTTTTCTGTGCTTTCCTCTGTTGGTCGGACTGCTTTGATTGCTTTTGCGGGATAGGTTGTTTGGTTAGAATTTGGCATCTCCATGGAGTTGGAACTTCTCATAGACTAAAATTTTAGCTTTTCTGAGTTTTTATTTCTGATTAGATTTCTCTGGTTGCTGGTTTTGCAGTCTGAAGGGGTAATTTTTGAGTCATTAAGGAGGCTTCAACTGATGGCACTCTCTGTGGAGACTCTGAAGGTTCATATTGAATTTAGTGATATCTTGTTCATTATGTCTAAGGAAATTCGAATGTCTGAGAAGATGGAACTTTCTTTTCTTATTCCTTGAACGTTGAGAAGTTAGAATTTTCTTTGCTAGACTTAGCTTTCTATTTTCTTTTAGTCAACTTGGTCAATTCTCTCATTGAGTTCCGTCTACTCAGGCAACAGAGATTGGAAGGGCTGTAAACAATGTCCGTAAACATGGATCAAAGAAGATTCGCCATCTTGCACGGACTCTAATTGAGTATGAAATTAGTGATGCTGGCTAGTGGTTCTAATTCTGTTTTTTACTTGCGTATTGTTTGTAGATTTAGGATCCATTCAGGCATAATTTATGCATTTCATGCTATCTGGAAACTTCAAAAGGGGGGGTCATGTTTCAGACACTTGAATTTATGGTGTAAATTTTGTGTTGGTTACCCATGTCCTGTCCTTGCAGTACCTGAGTACCATCTTATAGATTACACCTAATTTGCAGTGCATCATACTTCCAAATTTATTGATATGGATAATTTGTTTGGTTTGTTCCTGAAATTGCCATTGCTTTGTTTGTTCCAGAAATAGCCTTGCCTTCCAGCTCATTCTATGCCTTCTTGACATATAGGCTTCTTGTTTCTACTAAATTTTCTGGTAGACTGATACACCCAACTCTTCAACTTCTCTGTATATACACATATGATCCAATTCCATTTAAATAGATGCAATAACTTCAGTATCAAGCTTCTGTGGATATAAATCTTCAACTTACCTTTAGTGATAAATGAAGATTTTAAGTCCAAGGAAACTTTAGGAATTCCGTTCTGTTTTTGAAAATCATCGGAACAAAATGGGTTGGAAATTTATATGTAAGAGATTAAAGCAAAATAGAAGGATCGTTAGAGATATAGATCATGAAATGAGAAGAAATTTGAAGTGGATCTGTATTGGATAAGAATAAGTTAGAAAATAGGAAAAAATATGGGATTTTGTTAGAAATAATATGATTTCATTTCTTGTTTTTTAGGCCAAAATTTCAAAACTTGAATGCAATTCTTTTCTTTAATAGCAACTATGGATCATCAGACCTATGGTTTGTTAATTAAAATGGTTCCACTTACAGTTCAACTCTTTATTGTCAATTGCAGTGGGTGGAAGGTTATGGTAGATGAGTGGGTAAGGTACGCTAATGCTATTGCAGGTAGATATTTATTCCTCATGTTAATTTCTAGAAATGTTCTATGCTTTCTCTAAACTGTCTATTGTCGACCAATAGCTGAATTACTTGTGAATTGATGGGTGCAGAAGGTTCCCCTGACTCTGTGAAGCCTTCTATTGATGAGGAAGGTCTCCCATCCCCTCCATTGGATGAGGGGGCTTTTTTCGCTACACAGACAACTGGGATAGAGCTTTCTCAGGTAGATGTTTTATAACAACTCACATTTTTAACTTGTGAATGTAGAGATATGGAGTGATATGACCATGATTATATTGTACGTTGCTTGTAGAGATATGGGGTGTTAGCAAAAATGACCACAATGCATATGATTTTGGCTGTCTCTATTCTCTACTATTAAGAAGTGGGTTATTTATCAGATGGATGTGAAAAATGCCTTCTTGCATGGAGATTTGAAGGAGATAGTTTATATAAAGCCACCTCCTAGGTATAATGTTATACCTAAGATGGTTTGTTGATTGAAAGTCTTTGTATGGCCTCAAATAAGTGCCTAGTGCCTGGTTTGAGAAATTTAGGTCCATCATTACTGATGTTAGGTTTACTTAGAGTTCTGCAAACTACTTCCTATGGCATCACTCTGTTGTTGGTATATGTGGATGATATTTTGATTACTGGAGATGATGTTGATGGTATTTCTTCCTTGAAACAAACTCTAAGTTGCTTGTTCAAGATGAAAGATTTTGGTCCTCTGTCTTACTTCTTAGGCTTGGAAGTGTCTCATGATTATTCTAATCATGGGTACTTTGTCAACCAACAAAAGTACGCTCTTGATTTAGTAAAATCAGCTTCTCTGACAGATGATAAACAGGTTGATACACCTCTTAAACTTAGCCATAAACTCTCTAAGGGAGATGGTGAACTCCTTGCTGATGCTACCTCATACCAGCATTTGGTCAATGGTCCCATACAATGACTCAACCAGGCATTTCATATGCAGTTCAGATTGTCAGTCAGTTTGTCTCTACCTCGCAGAAGCCTCTTATGTCAACAATTCATCGGATTATTTGTTACATTTGGGGTACCCTGTCTCATGGCCTCTTCTTTTCTTAAAGCCTATGTTGATGTTGATTGGGCTGGGTGCCCTGACACTAGACGCTTTACTATGGGGTGGTGCTAGACGCTTTACTATGGGGTGGTGCATTCTTCTTGGAGCACTGAGCAATGTCCTTGGCCTGTAGTGAATTGGTGTGGCTCCGTGCTCTCCTGAATGACATTAGTCTTTCTTCTTCTTCTCCCATCCTTCTCTATGATGATAATATCAGTGCAATCAAGATTGCCTCCAACCCGGTATTCAATGAAAGAATAGAGCTCTAACATGTGCTCGTGGGCCATATTACCCTTCCTCATGTGTCTTCCGTTCTTCAACTGGCAGATCTCTTTACCATGTGCTCACCATTAATTTCTCAGCGACAAACTGATGCTTATTTCCCAGCATCAGTTTGACTGAGGGTGTAGAGATATGGGGTATGGGACCAAGTTTATATTGCACATTGCTTGTATTTTATCTTGTCTAACTGAACTTTGCTTCTCTTGTTTTTTAACTGCACCGGCATGAAGTTTTTTGATGGCATGGATGATGATGGAAGTAAGTCAAATTTGAGAAAGTTTTCTTCCTTTTCTCTTCTTCAATTCAATATCCAGGCAACTCATTATCTTGGTCTGTTAACATTAATGTAGATCCTCGAAACAGTGAGGAACTTGACAAGAATTGTGAGAATGGAAGAAAGACATCACTGGATCACAATATCATCCCTAAGAGGAAGCAGCAGCCTCTCCATGAGGCAAACATGTTAGCTAGGGAGAATAAAGACCAACAGGTCTGCAAACCAGAACCAGTAATCAAACAAACAAAGCCCTTGCCCCCCAACTCTGGGCCAGGGAGACATCCAAAACTTGGATCAGAGCACAAAGCCAATAATGTAACAAAGTCTCAGCAAAAACCAGATCTGGTTGGAATTCAAAGGAGGTTGCCAGCTGGTCAACAAGATGTAAGTATTGCAAGTAACAGTTGACTGAAGATCTATACAATTCATTCTTTGTCCTCCATCTGATCCTGGCCTTTTTTAACCATCAGAAGCCAAAGTGCTCAGACGAACTTTCAGTCCGAGTAAAATTGGAAGCTACTAAGAGGAAGCTTCAGGAAGGGTACCAACAAGCTGAGAATGGTTTGTCAAATCCTTACCTGCTTTTACATTGGATTCTCTGCTACGATTCCCATGTGTTTTAGTAGTAAATATCTAGAACTGAATATGATGTAGTATGTCTTTCTTCTTTATGAAGCAAAGAAGCAACGGACAATACAGGTTATGGAGTTACATGATCTCCCTAAGCAGGGAATGGGTCATAGGAATCCCCAAGTGAGACCTGGTAACCATAGCCGGCATTGGGCAAATGGACGGCGTTAATGGCTCCAATTTTTGTGAACCGGATTTCATTACAACGTTGTTTCTTTCCTTTTCAAAACCAGTAATGGAAGAGCAGCAAAACCCCTCTGGCATGCTGTGAGTTTTGACTCGGCTCATTTTATACATTGAAATACCAAACATACCCAACAATTTGCTGGAGTGCGGAAAAGATGATTGGAGAACTTGTCCAAGGGACCAGGCCTTTGAGATCTTATTTGAACTTCAAGATACAATGTGGCCAGGCACATTGAGGTATAGCCATGGTTTCGGTTCTTTCAAATTGCAATCGACATGGAACCTTAATGTGAATCTGTCCATGTGACAGTTACCTCTGAAAAACCTTTTTCTCTTCCCTTCATTTGCAACTCTTTCAATAAATTACTGGATGATATAAATACCATTACACTGATCAACTCCGGAGTTATCCATATATGTATAGTCTTTTTGCTTCTAGCTTAGGCAATCAATGAATCCAAAAGCTCTGTATCTAATACTTAACCCAAATTCAAGGAAGAAATTCTGTAAATTCGGTGTTGGGATCTCCTTATGTTTGAGATGAGGTGATTTGTAGTAGTTCTTCGAAATAACCTTTGTAAGCATTATATTTGAGATGAGGTGATTTGTAGTAGTTCTTCGGAATAACCTTTGTAAGCAATACTGTTTTGAAGAGAATGAAGTAGTTGAAGATAGTTTGGTCGTCGCATTGCAAGGGCCAGGCGGCCGCTTACATTGGTTTGGATTGACTGTTCCCTTCAATTTGATGGGGACATGAATTTGAGAATTGACCATGAGATGAGACTATTCACAATTTCACATTAATTGGTCACAATGATGGGAACCTCAAGGGTTGAGGCCGGCGATTGACCAGTACGATCTCGTGGTTCAGGTCTTAGACAACGCCATTATTAGCGGGAAAAACATGCCTAACTAATTTTTCTTCAGAAACAATTTACTAGAAATCCTGGTAAACAATGAGTTCATGCAGCTTCTGGTTCTTCCCCCAATAAACAAGGTGGGGCCCACGACAAACAATCTCCAAGTTTCCTACTTAGTCTTATATTGCGTCTTTGTCCATAAGAACTCGAGTTGTATATATAATCTCGTTACTTACCAACACTTTTCAAGAATTTAACAGCCTGAATAGGGGTCTGGAACCAGAATCAGAATGACCCATTTTGGTTCCAACCGTTTGGCTGAGTGGAATTAGAATTTTATTTCCATTCATGGTGGAATGGCATTCCTCCATTTGAGGGAATGGCCATTCCTTTGATCTTATTATAGTTTATTCAATTTCTAGTTCGGATTCCCGTCTGAACCAATTATACTAATGGTCTGTTTGGTTGTCAAGAAAGGATGGGATGAAAAAGGAATATATATTTTTTTCCTATTTTTGTCTCAAGTGTTTTTTTTTTTTGTGTGTTTTCTAAGAAAATTTAATAGGAAACATATTAAATCAAATTTGTCATCCTTTCCCACCTTCAATGCCGCCGTGGTGCAGAAACTCTGTTGTGATATACATACAGAATTGGTGTATAGCTTCTTCATATGTGGTGTACGAGCAATAAATTGCTCCGCTAAATTGGTGTACCTACATGCATGGGAGCCACTGAATCCCATGCACTTGGTTCTAACTAGCTAGTAAACAATCAAAGAGATGAAAACCTGCTCAATGTATCAATCTAATAGATGAACATTTGTTCACCCACTCATGGTAGGGTTGGTTAAGAAAACCTGTTCAAACTCATGGTAGAATTCATTCATGCAAAAAATTCATTTGACAAACCATTTACATAACACCTGCCAATCATTTACATAACACCTATCAATCATAAACCCATTCATTATAGATCTAATAGATGAACACCTGCCAACCTATTGACCTAACATATCACAAAAGGGAAGCTTGTTTAAATTCAACCATCAAAGTAATCATTCTCTCATCTATGCATGAGAGCTATTGGATCCCATAAAATGAGATCTTAACCTGCTAGTCAAGGAGTTCAAAACCTGTTCAAATCAAACAAATTTTCAACTATTCAGAACCCAACTATGTTATATAGCAAGTTTAAGTCCAATAGTGTTTCAAAAAAGGAAGGGTCAATCATGTCAAGTTTAAGTCAGCAATGTTTCCAAAAAACATACTTAGTCATGGCAAGTTTAATTTCAGTAGTGTTTCCAAAAAAGGTTTAGTCATGGCAAGTTTAAGTTCAGTCACTCAGGCCCAACTTTATGTCCAACCAAGCCTTCATAAACCCTAGAGCCAATGCATAAAATTCTATTGCCCAGTTTTCAGATTCCGGCAAGTAGTCGATTACCTTTATGAGGAAAGCAGGGTTATGATCCCCCAAACTAAGTACATCCTCGTAAATCTTTTCCTTCCTCAACAACCCAATCCCCTTCTCAACAACAGTTGCTAGTGTCTTAATGCTTGCTGCGATCTTGTGGACCTCTTCAGTAACTGTAGTTGCGTATGACTTCCTCTTCCCTAACTTCTTCCATTTAGCTGAGCTACCCTCTTCTGGTGGCTTAGCCTGAAGGGTGGAATCACCAATATTGTCACCCTCATCAACCTCATCGAACATTGGTTCCTACATCGTTGGCATACTTGTTTCATTCATGGGTGTTGCCTCACGCCTATTCATTTCTTTAGCAATGAATGCCCCAGATCCAGTGACTTGATCATTCCCACACACTATGGCAAGTTGGTCATAGTTGGGGATGGGCTTTCTCCTAAATTGCTTAGCTTCTAGGTGCCCCTATTCATTCATTATGGATCAATCTAATAAGGTCGAATCTATTTTACATATTTTAATGATAAGTTTACATATCGTATTAAAGTTTACCTAGATATATTCAGCCCAAACACGGGGTTCTACATCAATTGTCTTGGTGATGTTGTTCCAAGAAAATCGACTTGATTTGATTATGTTGGAAATGGTAATGAAATTCTTCTTTATTGTCTTCATACGGTTTCTAATATGATTATGATTGCATTCCAAACCAAATTTATTGCTTATCGCTTTTGTAGTTGCATTGTATGCCAGGGCTTTAAAGCTTTTGTCTACTTTGTAGCCAAGAGTGGCCTGTTCTACTAGAGTATTAATCAATGTATTGTCCATCTCAGAAGTCCAGCTCATATTAGACTTACTCATCCTACCATCGGTTTCACTGAACTGAGTATCCATATCTGATTCACACCAAACAAGCAACATCACACATCTAACATGACAATTCAACCAAGTCATAGCAACATCTGAGACATTCAACCATACATATAAGCCAAGTTCTTTTAAAAGTTAGGCTTGTTTAAATACTAGGGTGCAGTGGCAGTTTCATAATTTTTGGAAAATTCGGGGATATTTTTGTAATTTTGGGATTGGGTCAAATCGGATCCAGGGGTCAATCCAGAGATTCTGGTTCAATGGTAGGGATTTTTGGGCAAAAAATGGAGGGTTGAGATTGGTCTGACCACAAAAGGGGTTTTGTGTGTGTGAGTTAGCAAAATTGACCAAAATGGAATCTTTTTATATGAGAGGGTAAATGATGGTAATTTTGGCTAAAACTTCACAGGGTAGGATTTGATAGGGTTGGATTGGCCCAATTGGGCCTAGATTGGACAGATTTGGAAAGGGCTTGATTTGGTCAATCTAGAGCCACATAACAGAATCTTGGCACAACGAAGGGGCAAATAAAGGCAGTTTGGGGTGAAATTTCACAGGGTAGGGTTTTTGGGTAGTTTGAGATGATTGGAAGGGTTAGATTGGGATAACTGGGCCTTTGAATGTTGGGATCTAGAAAAAGTGGTCTTCTAATGTTGGACACATCTCAATTTCCCCAAAGGAGAAGACCATTTTCTTTGAATCACAAACTCAAAGGCCGTCTTTAGCAAATGCCATTCTAATTGTGCCAATGATAAGTTCATAACATTTTCCCAATGTGGTGTCCCTTCAATGGCTCTAGTGTCATCTACTTTTTCGATAATTTGATCTCTAAGGGGTGCACAATATCCTAGATATTCAAAAAAGGCTTGGTCCATTTTCTTTCAAAAAAGAAAAGAGTTAGGTGGCCATTACTGTAACACCCTTAGTTTATTTTAAATAAAAGAGCGTGTACACCAATGAAGTATCATTTAATACTGATTAAAGGATGATTAGTCATTTAGCCATATTTGTACTTATTGGATACTTCTAGATTTTGAAGCCACAATGGTTATGCAAAGGAGCAGTGTATCTTTTAGTATTAGTTAAAGGGGTGTCAAACCCTTTACCATACGTATACCTACTAGACATTCTAGAATTTAGAAGCCATAGGGCAAGGTCGAAGCGCACTTACTTATTCTAGGTTAGTCAAGAGATGAATTATCTTTTGATATTGGTCAAAGGAGGGTTAGACCCTTGCCATATGCGTACCTACTAAATATTCTAAGAAATAAGGAATGTCAAAATGGTCTTTTGATGCTACTTCTCAAGAGTTTAACTCTTAAAGTTATGCATTTACTTAGTCTTAAGATGGCCATAGAATGAAGCACAAAAGATGTCAAAAATGGCCTTTTGATGTTACTTCTCAAAAGCTGATCTTATAAAGGAATGCATCTACTTAGCCTTAAGATGGGCACAAGATGAAGCACAAAAGATGTCAAAATTGGCCTTTTGGTGCTACTTCTCAAGAGATGATCTCATAAAGGGATGCATTTACTTAGCCTTAAGAACAACAACCTTGAGTGGCAACATAGGCTTCTTTAAGTATTTCAAATGAGAGCTTTAGATTTTGAGAATTTACAGGATTTTGATCTTGATTGAGCTTTTTTTTTCATTATTTCTACTATCACTAGACTTTGATCTTGGGTGTAACATTGATAGCTTAAAAGATATTTTGATGTTTTTAGATTAGATTTTTTTTTTCTCTTAAGGGATTTAATGTTTATTTTGATCTTTACCTCTAAGGATGGCAACCTCATGGTGTAACATTCTTAGTGTCATAGTCTTAATTACCCTAAGGTTCTTCTATCTTGCTTCCATCTGAGGCTTCTATTTATGGATAATCTAGGTGCAATGCATGAAATTATTAGAGGAGTGCTAGACTCTGAAGTTCCAACAATGTTGCTAGCCTTCAAACCTCCAACCATGGACAAATGGGCTTCTTTGGTTGGTGGCTAGTTTGAAGGCTTTTGGTGGAGCCTTTAAGGACCAAAATGCAAAGGCACACACCTACTATCCTTCCTTTAATAGGTGAGACGAGATTCTAATTCTATTTACATGAGAGTATGTGTGAATTGCGAGTATTCAAGCATGCAAGAAAGATACAAAGGCAAAGCAAAGAGTAAGGGGAGAGTGTAGCCATGTGTTCGAGTTTATAGATAATCTTACAAATTTCTAGATGGCTACACTTGGGGACTAATAGAAGCTAATTCCTTTTGATGCTCGTTCATCTAAAACATAGAAAAAGAAAGAGCAGAACAAGAAACAAATATAATTTATTCTTAGTTAGAGACAAGGCTAATCACATTCAGTTATAGAGGAAGAAAAAACCACAATTCTTGAGAGATCACCAAAGGAAAAGATGGAAGGGGAGAAGAAAAAACCCAAAAAAAAAACAAAAAAACAAGGGGGCTGCCATCCATAAATTGTAAAATTTTTTTGCAATACTGAAGGCTAATTGAGATAGAGATCCAATGCGCTACGATGGAGGATATGGTGCGACAAC